TGTGTGTGTGTGTGTGTGTGTGTGTGTGTGTGTGTGTGTGTGTGTGTGTGTGTCTTTTCATCTCTGTATCGCGATGACATAGTTTGTCAACAAATTGTGACATGTGAATCTTGCCCAGGCTCTTGCACTCAATTGTCTACATTCGCAAAGATGTAACTTCCTGTATAGAATCATCGGTCATCAGAACTTTAGCCGTAGTATACATCAGAACATTCCTCCGGAGTACACTGTTGAATGTTGACAACATGTCTGAGCAATTCGTCTGGTTTATCCGTACACAATGACACAATTTCGTGTTATTCTGATGTCACTGACAAGTTCGGTGACATGTACTAAGGCTGTTCAGAAAGAAATTGGCTATTGCAGGGGAACCATGGTGTTTTGCTATTTGTCCAAATTGTTTTGAGAAATGCACTTACAGTTTAGCAATTTTCAATTCTGAGCTGAGAAAATTTGTACTAAAGTTGGCTTCATGTAAAACAGGATCAACTTGACTTCCATATCGAATTTTTTTATTTATATGTGCTTTGTTCACAATGTCAGTTAAAAAAATAATAATCATGCGTGAAATGGCTGCAAGTCTCTCATTGTGGCTCTGAATCTGAATTGCTTTTTTTTATATTCGAAAGCGAAAAGTTTACAGTTCAGGTGCTCACAATTACATGTCTTGTGGGCTCGCCCAGGCATTTGACCATTAATATAATTACTGTTTCTATTAAATAAAGTCTTCAAACGTTGTTCGAATGCCAAGTTGTTGTGATGTAAAAATACAAGACTAAGCTTAATTATTTTGTTATTTATTTGCACCATTAACATGACCTGTACAACACAATTTAAAAAATGCAAGTATTTTAGCAAGGCAGAATAAAAGTAAACAACTGAGATAAAAAATGTTCACCAGTATGCATAACTAGCAGTGTTGCATTTGTGCCAAACTTACCCACCCCCCTTTTCTTTTTTAATTATTATTATTATTGATTTATTTTTTTTGCAAAGACACATTTGATTTGAACTCTCCCACACAAATGTGGGAACAAGTGGTCAGGAAAGAACCACAAGAAAAACAAAAAAACATTTGAGGTTCATCAAAGGTTTGTTTATACTTCTTGCAGTTTTTTTTTCCCCACCAGGTTGTCGGTCAAAATAATGGTGGAAAAGATTTAAAAATAATTAACCTTGGTCTCACTTTTTATGTCACAAAAAGCTAAACCTGACATTTGAAGTGGTGTGTGGAGACTTTGTATATCCACTGTTTATGCAGTGTGATGGGGCCTGAATGCATTTCTCATGTATACACACTTATAATGATATTTTATATTTGCATTCAATGTATTCGTGGTAAAAACAATGTTGAGTTTCAGGAATAACCATGGATGATGGATGGATGGATAAAATAAGTAAGTTATCCAGCTATTCTATAGCTAATTCTTGAGAGAAAGGAGAGCTTTTGAATATTTTATCATCTAAATATTTTTTCTGTAGGATTCATTGCATTAGTTCTGGCATGCAATTGATCTTGTTTATTATATTTTATTGGTTTGAGAAAATTACCTGTCACCTTATACATGGCCAAGGATAAAATATTTTCTGAAGTCTTTTTGACCTTAAAGTAGGCTCAGTGTTGCACTCCCACTGCATTTCTCTTGTAATTGTTCCACTCGGCCTCGTGGCGACGCTCTTAGAATATTTGAGTCAGCTATGGCGTGCTCTTCTGTAACTGTGTCAGTGAAACTGGAGCATTGGGTGAGAGCTGAAGGCTGTGTGCATGTGTCTGTGTGTGCGTGATTTTGTGATGGAGGCAGAGAAAAGCGTGTGTGTGTGTGTGTGTGTGTGTGTGTGTGTGTGTGTGTGTGTGTGTGTGTTTGTGTGAGAGAGAGAGAGAAAAGTGTGTGTGTGTGTGTGTGTGTGTGTGTGTGTGTGTGTGTGTGTGTGTCTGTGTGTGCGTGTGTGTGTGTGTGTGTGTGTGTGTGATGGAGGCATAGAAAAAAATGCATGTGTGGGTGTTTGGAGAGGGAGAGAGAGAGAGAGAGAGAGAGAGAGAGAGAGAGCGGGGAAGAGAGAGAGAGCGAAAGAGGGAGAGATGAAATGAGACTAGAGAATCCAAGCTGACAGCTTCCCTAATAGAGCATGAGTAACTCGGCTAGAGAAGCAGGGAAGCGTTGGATTGCAGCACAATTTTCATTTCGATATTTTCAGGAGCATGTTTAGAGTTTAGCTCATCTTTTGACGGTTTATGAGCACCGGAGAGAATCTCTAAAAATGGACCACCGAATCAACTTTGAACATTGGAAGGAATTATTCTTTTTTTGTCTGATTTTTTCCGTGTCGTCTGGAGAGGTGCGTTACGTCCTACCAGAGGAGATGCAGCCAGGTTCTGTAATTGGGAACATTGCACGAGATCTCGGTGTGGAGGCGAGGGAGCTCGGTGCTCGTCGTGCCCGTGTTGTTGCAGACGGAGCCAGTCAGCTCTGTGAACTGGACCTGTCATCAGGCAATCTTTTGATCAGCCAACGGATCGACCGAGAGGAGCTCTGCGCACAAGGAAGCGTGTGCACCATCCAGCATCAGCTTTTACTTGAGCAGCCCCTTCAAGCATTCAGTCTACTTTTGGACATTGCAGACATAAACGACAACACTCCAGTGTTTGCCGCAGAGGAGATCAACCTTGATTTGGTGGAGTCCACAGTTCTCGGGAGACGTTTTCCCCTGGAGAGTGCGCATGACCCAGACTTGGGCACGAACTCTGTCAGTGAATACAAACTCAGCCCGAATGAGCATTTTGGCTTGGAAATAAGTACCCAAATAAATGGAAATGCATATCCAGAGCTTGTTCTTAAAAAGCCATTAGACCGAGAAGCACAAGCTGAACACGTGCTGAAAATCAATGGCATCGACAGGGGAAGTCCAGCCAGAACTGGGACTGCTTCTATCCGTATCCGGGTTTTGGACGCCAATGATAATGTCCCCGTTTTCAGCCAGAGGGTTTATCGAGCATCTGTATCCGAGAACTCTGTCACAGGGACTTTAGTAGCACAACTGAATGCCACAGACTTGGATGACAGCCTTTATGGGGAGATAACATACTCTTTCAGTCACCTGACGGACAAGACCAGAGGAGTTGTTAACATTGACCCTCTGAATGGCGAAGTTCGCGTGGCAGGTGTCCTTGACTACGAGGAGGCGAGTACTCACGAGTTGGATGTGCAAGCTAAAGATGGAGGCGGCCAGGCCTCCCACTGCAAACTCATCATCGATGTCATTGACGTCAATGACAACAAACCTGTGATTGAAATCAAGTCGGCGTCTGCGAACATACTGGAAGACTCCAAACCCGGAACGATGGTGGCCCTCATCAATATATATGACATGGACACCGGAAATAGCGGACACGTCACGTGTTCCATTCCTGACAATGTCCCATTTCAAATTGTGTCAGAAGTGAAAAACTATTACATGCTAGTGACTGCTGCGGCGCTAGATAGAGAAGTTCAATCGGAGTATAACATTACCATCACTGCGACTGACTCAGGCTCTCCCTCACTGGAGAGCAGAAAAGTTTTATCCATCGTGGTGACTGATGTAAATGACAACCCTCCAACTTTTACCCAACACGAGTATACCGCCAACATCTTGGAAAACCAACCTGCTGGCACGTTTGTTATGAAAGTAATGGCACAGGACATGGACGATGCATCCAATGCTAAATTAATTTACCAAATACCAAAAGAGACAAATCCGGAAGTTTCTTCCTTTCTTACCATGAACATGGAAACGGGAGAGCTTTTCACATCGCGCCTCTTCGATTACGAGCAGTCAGTTCACTTCCAAATCAAGGTGGAGGCCCGAGATGGAGGCGATCCCCAACTCACCACCACCTGCACCGTCAATGTTTTTATTGTCGACCAAAATGACAACACGCCAGTTGTTCTATATCCTGTGCAAGCCTTCATTGCCGAGGACATAGTTCCCTTCGAAGCACCAAGAGGCTATTTAGTGACCAAGGTGGTGGCTGTAGACGCAGACTCGGGTCACAATGCGTGGTTGTCTTACAGAATAATCAAAGAAACACAGCCCAATCTGTTCATGGTGGGCTTACACACAGGTGAAATTAGAACCACGCGAGCCTTTATGGAGCTTGATGAACCGAAGCAAACAATTGTTATCGTGGTCATGGATAACGGGCCAGAAGCTCTGTCTGCCACGGCGACAGTTAGTATCGCCGTTGGCGAGGGGTTGCCAGTTCTACAAGAACTCTTTGAGCTGGCAGACGAATCTCAGGGCAGCGATAACTTGAGGCTCTATTTGATTATTGCGCTGTTCACCGTTTCTTTCCTCTTAATCCTTTTAATCATTGGAGTTTTTTATTTCAAGCTTTGTCGCCATAGTTATGTGTACCGTTCCACTGCTGCCAGTCTTCCTGTTTTCCCGACAACGTATTATCCACCAAGTTTTACCGATTTTAGTCGCTGTGGGACATTGCTGAAAGAAGATCGCTATGATCCATTTCTGACCACCGGCTCATGGAGAGGTGACTTTCGCTTCGGTTCTAACACGGATACTGACACGCTAAAGAAAAGGAGTGCGGCTTATCAAAAGAACACCCTTAGGCGAATCAGTGCAGAAAGATCTACTCTAAAGGTTCAGGCTGGTCCCGCTCATCCTTGTTATGTGGTCACTTAAAAACTGTCCGCAATGGTTGCACATGCAGTGGTTGTAAAAAGTCTACACACCCCTGTTCAAATGCCTGGTTTTCTTTGATGAAAAATAAGCTCAAGATGATCATTTCAAAACTTGTCAAGGTGTAGGGAATTACAAGATGAAATTGAAATGACTGTCAGTGATTGCACAAAACCTTCAGGCTTCTGCCAGAAAACGGAGAAGAATGCCAGGAAAAGTGTACTTGAACAACTGAACTTTATTTGAAGTTAATCAGAGGCATTTTAAATGGTGCGCGAGTGTGTGCGGACTCCCCTTGAATTTGAGTTTGAATCTGAGTGGTTAATTCTGAACACAGGTACATCCCAATTCAGAGGGCGTGCACACTTATGCAACAACAATATCGGTGTTTAATTTTCTTTACCTGCGATTGGCTAGCAACCCCACCCCACCACCCCCACCCCCCTGCCCAAAGACAGCTGGGATAGGCTCCAGCATGCCCGCGACCCTTGTGAGGATAAAACGGATTAGAAAATGGATGGATGGATTTTTACTTCCTCTCATGATTTGTTTTCCCTAATTGCGTTGTACAGGTAGATAAAGTTTTGAAATGATTTGTCTAAAACCTGGCCTTATTAAGGAATGTGTTGACTTTTTGTGTTCTCTGGGTTTTGAAAAAAAATGGTGAAAAAAAAGGTTTTTAGGCTTTTAAATGCACTCACTGGATACTCAATTGAGTATACTCACCTTCTGGTGTTAGACATTTGTAATGTTATTTATGTATTTACAGTAATCTCTGATCCTAAACTATGCACGGGCTCATGATGATGCAGTACAATTCAGCAACTTTATAAACTGCAAGCAAAATAAAAGTATTGCAAATTCAAAAACTTTGCTACGTTAGATTGTGCAGGTGGTGTGGGCAGTGAGTGTAGGTTGTGATGACAAACTGTCAACATTAAAATGAATAAAATGACACCATAAAGGACAGTATTTTTAATGATGTTAAATGTTTGTAATTATGTTTTGTATCTATGCATGGAATTATTCAACTTGGAAATAATTGTGCGAAACAAACAACTGAAATAGTGTCAAATGAGCATGATAGCTGATAATTGCTTTGTTTTGTGTTTGTTAATTAAATTCAATAGTACCTTTTCTTGTAATGCTAGTCAGGCTTTATTATTCATTCATTACTGGATGAGATATCTGTTGCAATATTTCTGCACCAATTGTTTGCTCTGTTTCTATTTTTCTCTCATTTATGATGGTCTAATATCTTTTGTGTCATGTGAGTGCCAGACGTGTAAAACGTTTCGTAACCAGCACGATACAGCTTGTGATTTCAAATTCACCAAACTCTTCCTCGTTCTTTCAAAATGCAAACGAGACGATGTGTTTTTACCCCTGCTGATTTTATGTTCAGTTTTTAGCAAGTATAGGTCTTTTTGTTTTATCTTTTTCTTGTTCGCACAGGTCAGTGCTGTTGCTTTTGTGACCTGTGACCATCAATAATTCACCCAACGATGATCAATATCTGTTGTGTTATGCTTTGAATACTACTTTGTAATGGAATGGTTTAGCATCTAAATAAGTCTTGAAATAAATTTGGATTTTGTCCAAAAAAGAAAAAGACAAAATGTTTGATTTGGGACTCCTTTCACCAAGGTACAAGTAGACACAATTTACACACATGCAGCCACAACTATTATGATGACATTCACTGTCAAGTCAGTGCTTCAAGAAAAATACGGCAGATTAATGCTGTGTGTGTGTGTGTGTATGTGTGTGTGTGTGTGTGTGTGTGTGTGTGTGTGTGTGTGTGTGTGTGTGTGTGTGTGTGTGTGTGTGTGTGTGTGTGTGTGTGTTACTGACGTATGTGGCGCCAAGGTAGTGAAGCGGAGTAATATGTTGTTATCATATGTGGCCGTGTTGTTGCTGGCACATGTGCTCCACATTTAGCCATGGTTGGATTGCTAAAACCAATTTATGATTTGTCTGTGTCACATCCATACTGTACTATATGACTACACGAGGCTTGTATTGGAGCTTGATGACAAGCTGAATAGCTGGGTGAATGGTTGGAACTGTTTCTGTTTTCTCCCAAAAAATCATTTCCACCTTTAGCACATGGTAATTAATAAATATTTTTTTGAAGAGTGTAGGAGGGCTCAATTTTTTTCAGCGTATCAAAATATTTGTGGGGGAACACTGATGTGCATAAAAGCATTGGTGGAATTTCTATTTCCTCTACAGCACATTTTCAACACGTCAGGTTTGGGGTAATCAACGCTGTGTACATAAATATTCATATAAAACTTTGATCTTGTTTACATTTTATTCACTTAAAATTTAAGGGCATCAAAAACATGTTCCCACTCCCGCAGTTTGTGATTTTTCTGTCTCTGTGCCATTTCATGTCACAACATTACTGCTTAAAGTAAATGTCATCATTGGGCTTAATACTAACTTTTTTTTTTTGCTTTCTCTTTTCTTTTGGCCTCCTCCTTCAATGAACCTTCCAATGTTGACGCACAGGTAAGCTCATTTTCAATTATTTCAGCACTCACATGCACTCTACTCCTGTGACATATCACACAAGCATCACCCTCATCAAAAGCACTGATTAGCTGACACAATCAATATGATACCAGTTGACCCAGAATGTGTTTCCATTTGTGCAATCTCTTGGCTTGAGCTGCCTCTTCACATCAGACACTGTGCCAACAAACATGTTTATTGGTCATGTTATGCAGACCAGAATCAATCCAACACAAGGATTACATAGCCTGTATGTCACCCTTTGCATTCATGTAACTTATGCAGAAAAAGTGATCTGCTGAGACGAAATGTGTTCCCAGAGTAAGCTACATGAATATTAATAACTCTGCCCGCTGTTGCTGAGCAGACTCGACCTAAATAATGCGCCATCATGATCTGTACAAGGCTGTGCTCTGCAGCATTATGCTGAAATGGAGCACACACACACGCACACACACACACACACACACACACACACACACACACACACACACACACACACACACACACACACACAGGCATTTTAAGGCACTGCCATGGCTGCCTTTTTGAGCTCAAGTTTGAAAACAGATTAATGAGAGGTCAGGGCAGTTTCATTGTATGGCCTCTTGTTCATTTCATACTAATTCCATTCAATGTTGATCAAGATACTGAACCCCCGATTGCTCCTGATGCTGCGTCATCTGTAGGTGAATGAGGTAACAGTATGAAGCGCTTTGAGTACCCGAGGTAGAAAAACACAAGTGACAGCCCATTTACCATGTGGGTCCCTGCTGTTTGATCTGTCCAATAGCTATCTATCTATCGTCTATTCATCAATATTATAGTTGTATGGCCTCTTGTTCATTTCATACTAATTCCATTCAATGTTGATGGGGCTGCATGGCTCAGTGGTAGAGACTATGTCAAACTGTCCTTGATCAAGATACTGAACCCCCGATTGCTCCTGATGCTGCGTCATCTGTAGGTGAATGAGGTAACAGTATGAAGCGCTTTGAGTACCCGAGGTAGAAAAACACAAGTGACAGCCCATTTACCATGTGGGTCCCTGCTGTTTGATCTGTCCAATAGCTATCTATCTATCGTCTATTCATCTATATTATAGGTCTGTCTGTCTGTCTGTTGTCACAGAGGTGGAACAGATTCACACTATGGTCATATTTTTTTACATTTATTTTACTTTTCCACAACATTCAATTATGAGACCACTGCTTGATGTGTCGTTTTACTTTATCTCAGCTGATGGTGCTGTTGCATCAGCTTTGAAAGCACCTCGAACAGTTCATGAACCTTTAAAGTAAGTATTGTTTTTGGAAGAGACTTCATAATGTCGCCGAATTTGACATGAGCTTGTGTGAACATTATTTAACATGAATACTTTGACATTATAAGGGTACTTCAGTATTTTTTATTCTTTCTCACCAGCAACAATGGACATGTTAAAGGTGCGTTGGAGTGACTTGTGTTTTTTTTTCTGCATTATCGCCACAGTCAAAAGAAAAATCAGTTGTTCCATTCAAGAAGAAATGAGGACGTAGACTGGATATGAAAATGGGGGTTTCTGAACACTTGCTTGGCTTGTTATATTGATGGAGCCCGCCAGTATGTTGTACTAAGGCCAAATAAAAGAACACCTCGTTGCCAATGAGAGAGTTGAGACTGAAAATAAGATATCTGTGTAGCTTTACGAAAATTGTCCTGGAAGATCCACTTGAATTACTTTCCATCACCATCGAGATACAAGGTGTAAACAATCATGCTCCAGCTGTTCCCAAAAATTAATCTCGATGGATATCACCGAATGAACACCCGGGGCACTGCATTTTAGCTTGATAGTGCCTTGGATCCCGATTTGGGAATAAACTCCCCAAAAAGATGTTTCTTAAACATTAACAATGTCTTTATTCTGAAACAATGCAATGCATGGAGCAGACGTGGGTGAATACGCAGAGCTGATATTAGTGGGTGACTTGCAGTGGGAGAAGCAGAATGAGTGAGTGAGTGAGTGAGTGAGTGAGTGAGTGAGTGAGTGAGTGAGTGAGTGAGTGAGTGAATGAGTGAGTGAGTGAGCGAATGGATATATATTTATTTACAATATATAGCTTATTTGAAAACATACTAAGCTCTTCATAAGCACATAAACATGCAAAACTGAGACAGATAGGGGCCAAAATAGGTCCTATTCGATGGCAATATTTCTCAGCTGCAGAAGGCAGGACTGGCGTTTCGCAATTTAACATTTAAGTAGTGATGGGAAGATGATGCTTCAAATTTTCTTCATGAACCAGTTGTATTTTTTTTTTTACTTTTCTAGATGGCACTGTTGGTTTAAATAAAGGGGCTTAAGAAATGGCAAGTCAGTGTGCTTTCAGCTCAATGTTGAACAGACAGTGCAATCTAGAGGAGTCAAGAATACACCAACTGGTTCGTGAAACAAATTTGAAGCTTCATTTTCCCATCACAAAAGTTTAGTGACTGACTGTCCAATATTTGTTCTGGTCAAAGATGATACTGACATTACCAGGTGATTTAATGTTCTGCTGAAGTGGGCCAATAAACTGTGTAGCAGAATTGACAACGTTTTCAAGGCCAATTAAAAGAACTGAGGTTTGTCATGATTTAATTCGAAAACATTTTGGGCATTCATTCTTTGAGAGCAGGGGTGTCCAAACTCGGTCCTCATTGCCTGATTCAAATCATCAGGATCATTCTAATGCTGCTTCAGAGCTGTCTGATGAGCTGATCATCTGAATCAGGTGCGTTGCAGCCGGGAGAGCTGGAAAACAGATCGGACAGCAGCCCTCCAGGCCCACAGCTGGACATACCTGTTTTAGAGCAACAAGACCACTCATGGAGGGTGTTGAGTTGGGTAACGTTATTGGATTTGACAAAGAAATAGATTTATTTCCTGAAAAGGCTGAACAACTGAACGAGAGGGAGCATGTCAAATGAAAACAGCATTGGCGCAAGGACAGAGTCCTATAATGGACTCCCCACTGGAGGAAAGTTAAAGAAAATAGGAATAAGCTCTCACAATCAGTAGAAAATGAAGCAGGAATGCAAGGAGAGAGGTTTAAAGGATGACACAACCTTGCATTATTTCTCGTGTTATCAATTAATTCCACAAAAGTAAGCTGCTTGCACATCTTTAATACATTAAGTTGAAGCAGTAAATCCCTCATGTGCAGACAAGGGTTTTCAAGACTGTCATTTTGACATTAGCACGAGCACACGCTCATATTAGTAGCAACAGACAGTGACGAGCCACCAAAATCCCAGAGAGCCATAATTCTTGTTTCTGTTGTGGATGCTTTACAGCCATATGTTGGTAGACCCGTGCAGCTCGGTGCTCTGGCTGAGAAGGTTGTCGTCCAAGATTGTGTGGTCCGTCTCTTCTCTTACCCAAGAACCTCCCATGGTGCTACTTCACCGCTCCCATGATAATCCATAGATATAACACTGTATTGCACAAAGTTACCATCTATTGTTATTATGTTGCATTTTATTGAGACATTTCCGGACAGTTGCATGGACGGAAGTCTCCTTCTCACGAAGCCGTGAGTAAGCAGCAGTGCATCCATGTCGAAGAATACAACTCTGGAGAGAGACCAGTACAAAGGTTTCAGTTCATGTCAGCAAATACCATGCCAATAACTCTGTGATTTTGGAGTCCTTTTATTTTCCCTTTCTTTTATTATTTAAAGTTGGTCTTGTATTTTATTAGTTTTCCATTGCTGTGTGCTCAATGGGGAGCAATTATGACAATAGAAAACACTAGCTGCTACTTTCACTGATATTGAATCTGTTGTTTAAACAAAACGACGTAAACCCTGACAACTTCGAGTTCTCTTTCTCTGTCCATGGTGCTGAAGTACAGCGAAAGCCATGGAAGGCTGTGGAATTATTGATCTGCGCTCACACAGAATAAATAATTATCATGACGTGTATAGTTCTTTCATTGCCAACAGACCTTCCACAAATTTGGTGCATATTTTATCCTCACAATGATGCCATTTTATTGACTGATGACTCTTGACTTTTTTTGCAAAATAGAATTTTTGACGAAACCAAGAAAGGCTTGAAATTGTTTCGGAAGTACTTTTTATATCGTCGTCGGAAGAGGATTTTATTTTTATTTGAACTTTTGAATCTAACTATACCAAGTTTTACGCATCAGCCTCTAAGGGGCGCTGTTAAATGGAAAATAAACATGTCTGTGCTGCGTGACGCAGTACTGCTCCCTCTTCTGTCACTGCCATTGCTCACGAGAGATCTTGAGGTGAAAGACGTACAACCCTTGAGCAGAAATAGCGCAAATCTGAATACGCCTGTATTATTTTCGTTTAATTCTTAATTCAGTTTAATCGTTATTTGATAACATTTTATTTTGACATGGAGTCTAAAGATAATTATCTCAGCGGTGGAATACGGCGACGATGGTTTGGGCGACGGCCGGCCTGCCTCTTTGTCTTTTGGTGTTTTTTTCTAAACGGAACGCAGGCGCAGATCCGCTACTCGATCCCAGAGGAGATGAAAAAAGGCTCGCTTGTCGGAAATGTGGCCCAAGACCTCGGTTTGGATCTAAAAAGACTCCGTTCCGGTCGCGCCCGCATCGTTACCGGCGAGAACGTCCAATACGCCGAGCTGAGGGCGGACAAAGGGCTGCTGGTTGTCCATGAGAGGATAGATCGAGAGCAGCTGTGTGGAGACGTGACGCCGTGCAGCTTCACCTTTGAGATTTTATTGGAAAACCCCATGGAATTGCATCCGGTAACCATCGAAGTGTTAGACGTGAATGACAACGCTCCCACCTTTGAAAGTAGACATTTAGAATTTGAAATAAGCGAGTCGGCTGCACTTGGCTCTCGTTTTGTTTTGGAGAATGCTCACGATGCTGACGTGGACGCAAACGGTCTGCAGAGTTACATTTTAACACCGAGCGATCATTTTGTTTTGAAGCAACACGTCAGTCCGGGAGGGAGAAAATATGCAGAAATGGTGCTTCAGAAAGCTTTAGACAGAGAAGAACAGCCGTGGCTGTCATTAAAATTGTTGGCTGTGGACGGGGGAAATCCGCAGAGATCAGGTACAGTAAATATAGATATCACTATTCAAGATGCGAATGACAATGCTCCAGTCTTTAATCAAACAATTTATAAAGCGAAATTAATTGAAAATGCACCAAAAGGTGCGATCGTTTTGACCGTGAATGCCACTGATGCTGATAGTGGTTCAAATGGAATTGTAACATACTCATTTTCAAAACTAAATTCAGGAATAGCAGATATGTTTTATATAGATGAGAGGACGGGGTGTATATCTGTCGTAAAACAAATAGATTACGAAAAAGACAAAACAATAGAATTCATGGTTGAAGCAAAGGATCAAGGTTTGTTTGCTGACTCTACAAAAGTTGAAATAGAGGTCATGGATTTAAATGATAATGTCCCAGTCATAAATGTGATGTCATTTACGAGTCCTGTGTCAGAAGACTCCCCGGCAGGAACCACTTTTGGTATTATTAATGTGAAAGACCAAGATTCGGGAGAAAATGGTCACGTCAGGTGCGTAATCGAAGGCCGCGTTCCATTTAAAATCAAGACCAATGTGAGAAATTATTTTGCATTGATGACCGATGATAACTTAGATCGTGAAAGTGTGTCAGAGTACAACATCACGGTTGTTGCGTCAGATGCAGGCTCGCCTCCCCTTTTCATGAAACAGACTTTTAATTTGAAAGTGTCAGACGTGAATGACAACGCTCCAGTGTTTCCGGTCAGCATTTATAGTGCAAACGTTGCAGAGAACAACTCGCCAGGTGTTTCTGTGCTCAGCGTAAGTGCCAAAGACCCAGATGAAAACCAGAACGCTCGGGTCTCCTACATGTTGGAGCAGAGTGAAATCGGAGGAAGATCGATTAGTGAATTTGTATCTGTGAATGCAGAAAGCGGAGTTATTAGTGCAGCTCGCTCATATGACTACGAGCAGATCAAAGAGCTGATATTTATTGTCAGAGCGCAGGATGGCGGCTCCCCTCCGCTCTCTGGTACCCGGTACAGACGGGCGGCTCGCTGCTGGCCGAAATGGTGCCGCGTTCAGCAGATGTGGGCTATCTGGTGACGAAAGTGGTGGCCGTGGACGTGGACTCTGGCCAGAACGCCTGGCTCTCCTATAAAGTGCACAAAGCCACCGACAGGGCGCTGTTTGAAGTGGGCCTCCACAACGGAGAAATCCGAACTGTCCGCCAAGTGACTGACAAAGATGCTGTCAAACAAAGACTGACTGTTGTCGTGGAGGACAACGGGCGGCCCTCTCGTTCAGCGACAGTCATTGTGAATGTGGCGGTGGCCGACAGCTTCCCTCAAGTGCTGTCAGAGTTCACTGACTTGAGCATGCACGACAAGGAGTACAATGACCAGCTGACTTTTTACTTAGTCTTGGCGTTGGCGGTGGTCTCCTTCCTCTTCATCACCTGCTTGCTGCTTATCATATCGGTCAAAGTGTACAGATGGAGACAGTCTCGCATCCTCTACCACCCTAACCTGCCTGTCATTCCATATTGCCCACCACGATACTCGGATACTTTGGGGACGGGGACTCTCCCGCACGTGTACAATTACGAGGTGTGCAGGACCACCGACTCCAGAAAAAGTGACATGAAGAACATGCAAGCCATGAGTCAAAGTTTAGTGAGCGTGGATGGAGCTGATGCTAACGTCCAACAAATGATCAAGCAGGTATCAGGAAACTGCTCACAGACGTCAACCTTGGTGAGTCTTTTTTTTGTTTGTTTTCTCGGCATCTGAATATTTTGTTCACTGTTTGACGTCAGAAATGAGATCCTAGAGATTGTGTCAAAAATGTTGTCAGTCATTTCCATATTTTAAAAATGAGTGCAAATTTATCATTGAACGATGCATTTTCAATTTAAAGATTATGATGGTTTTGCATGAATGACTTTCTCCTCTTCGTTATGATACTCATTCAAAATTACTGGTTGATATCTGCAATTTCAGTAAACTGTTGCTTATATTTGAAAATAACATGTAACGTGGAACACATACAATTAAATAAACGTAAATGTGTTACAGATATGTATTTTTTTTGTTAAGTCATAGGTCAAACTGATAACCTTGTATTTATTTTGACTGTTATTAAGATTTTTTTGGTCTTGAAGACTTAACGCAAGGAAGTTTACATTACTGCAGCACTAAGGTCAAAGTTCTTTACCCTCATGCATTTCTTCTTCATATTTGCTTCCCCACGCACGCTTGTTATTCACACCATATCATTTTTATATATGCGCCATTGATGCTGAGTTGCACTACTGAGAAAATACTCTGAGCGCCGCTAGTGACACGTCAATGAATGAAACGACTCTGTGCTTAAGTCTTCCCCTCCTTGAGAACTGCGTTGCCGAGAAATACGACGGACGGCTCACCATTTGAAGAGACTAGTCCGGCGGATTGTTGGATTTGTTTTTGTCTTTTTGGTTTGAGGATCACCTGATTTTATTTGAGGCATCAATCCTTGTGTTTTTATATATCTATTATTAATTCACGATGGATTGTGTGTGGATGCCCGCCGTCATCGGCCGATGGCGCACACTGTTTGCCATTCTTTGTCTCTGTGAGCTGCGCTCGGCGAGTGGACAGGCTCGCTATTCCATACCGGAGGAGCAGGCGGAAGGCTCTTTTGTTGGAAATATTGCGAGAGATTTGGGCTTGGACTTGGGGAGACTCATGGCAGGTAAAGCTCGAATTATTACCAAAGGAGGCCGACAGTATGTTGATTTAAA